CGGTGATGGTGAATGAGCTATCTACTTAGGATGCGAAGAAACTTGCACTAATTATATAATTCATGTTTTGCATTTTGTCAAATAGAATATTCTGCTATAATCTATATATTGCTGTATGTTGCTAAATAGTAACCAAAACCTGTCCAACTCTGTTGGTCGAAAGGCTTTGGCTTTGGTAACTCAAACTCCATTGGCCTCCACCTTCTCAGTCAATGGCCCACGCTGGCGCCTCGTGTGCAGGGCGTCGGCAAATAGCGATGTAGCATTAATCTGGAAGAAAGTTGGCTTGTTCAAAGGAGGTGCAGAAACTGTTGCGCCTACCACTACAAGAGTAGACTCATCTGAACTAATGCAGCAATTTCCAGCACTCACAACTTCACCAGCCCTTTCAATCGTCGACCAACGAGAATACACAGAGAGTTTGCAGGGTCAAACTTGATGCATACTCTGAAGATGGAGCGGCTGGAGCCTGGAAGAATATCCCATATGAGTCTCCTCTAGACTCTAGATGTGTCCCTTGTTCTCCCCCTCCTGCGAGATTAATTCCACAGCTTTGGAAAACTAGGGACCATTCTCTGCGCACTTCTGACACCCAAGCATGTCTAGGTTCAGCTCAAGGTCTAAAAGTCACCCACTGAACTTGGGGTTGTGTGTTGCCTGCTTGGGGAGGACGCGCAGAGTAAACCTGAAATCCAAATGCCCGGCTCGCCTCTTGAGCCAATCGATCATGCTTTCCAGCATCTCAACACAGTCCTTTTCCAGAACATCCTTTCTCACCTGGCACCCAAAAGAGTGCATTGAGGCCTTCACAAGAAGTCATGACATACAAGGACGCATGAAGGCGATCACTTAACCACAAGAGCTCCCAATGCAATTCTGCTGCAGGACTTGGCATTATATGTTCCCACAACAGGCGACAACATCTTGAGAAAGCTCTTCAGGACCCGCTGAAATGACTTGCTGTTCAACACCTCGTTCATGTGACTGTTCTGGCCCCCTGAGGCTCCAAACACAGCTATCCATGAAGACGCCAGGTTGGAATTTGTCAATCACCAGCACCTTGGAGGGACCGTAGATATCCGTAGATACTCTTTGGAATCTTGATGGTGATGCACATTGCACTGAGGTGCCAGGAAGCTAGTCGACACAAAGTGGAATGAGTCAAGCGAGCTTGGCGCCAGCTTCAAAGCTCCCTTGCAATCATGCCACAGATTGCCACGGTCCTGCCAAAAATCTCAAAGAATGAGACTCAGACATTAAAAAAAACGTCGATTGGCGGGTGACAAGCAACCCAGGTCATCCCGGTTGCTCCTCGGAGAATTCGGGCTTGATGAGCTGCCTGATCCAGACTTGGAGACAAACCCACTCCCTGCCCGCAGACTGACTTGCTCTATGTAAATTGCCAAAAAAAGTCGTGCTGGTCGAAAGGGCTTTGAAGCTGAAACGGAGTCACAAGCATCGATTGTCAATTCATCCAGCCCCCGATTCCTCACT